CCTGCAAAATACCGAATATGTCGAAATCACATACTTTCCTATGCAGAGACTAGGCAGAGATATTGATTGCTCGGGAACATACTTAGACAACTCGAGTGGTACCAATTTTTTTACGGATAAAAGTTGGACAGAATCGGTGAAGTTTTACATATGCACATTTTGGATTTCTCAACCGTAAGTTATCAAAAATACAAATTTTGCATTATTCCCATTCAAATTATATAAGAAGACGCCATTTTGAATTTTTATTTTGAGTCAAAATGCGCATACTTGGCAGCCATGTTGGACTACATTTCTGGCCATGTTGCACCCGTAGAGATATTGGTGGAATTTCTTTATCCCAAAGATAACCGCCAATGCTTCTTTCTGTAACTGATAGTAATTATTTTCACTGGCACTCAAGGTACGAGATGCAAACGCCAATCGGCCTCTCACTACCGTCTTGGAATACATGGGAGATCACGGCACCCACGCCATATGCAGAAGCATCCGTTGCTAACTTCATTGGTTTACTAGGATCATAATGTGCCAAGAATGAACTGTCAGCCAGTTTCTGCTTACTCTGTTGAAACGCTTTTTCATATGCTGGAGTTTAATTCCAGGGTTGATTCGGTTGCAACAGTTCGTACAGAGGCTGCAGGGTCGTAGACACATTTGGAATAAACTTGGCGTAATAATTTAATAACCCCAAATATGATGGGAACGAGAGCATTTCGAATAGCTTCCACTTTCTGCAAGGATTAACAGTCACTTTGTAATCTCCGCACAATCTAACTGATTTATCAGCTTGATCGGTACTACAACGATGACTGCCGTAGCCTATTCACTACGATCTACTTTGTAGATAATCCCCTCAGCTTCTAACCGATCCAGTTCCTTATCTACAGCTTCTTGTAAAGCAAATGGTACTGTTCGAGCTTTACAAAATTTCGGTTGAACATTCTCTTTCAAATGAATCTGGGCTTTATAATCTTTAACAGTCCCGTACCCTTCAGAGAACAAACTAGAATACTTATACAGTACCTCGGTCACGGAGCCTGGTACCGATTCAGACTTTACTGCGAAAATTCTTGACCAATCTAACTTCGACTTGGTCAACCAATCTCGACCCAGTAAAGCAGGGTCATTTCCTTTCACAATAAACGCTGTCAATTTCGCGCTTTATCCCTGATATTGGACTGGTAATTGTACTTCCCCAAGTACTTGAAAGCGCTCCCCGGAGTACGCTTTCAACACGACTTTAGATTTGCTCGATGGTAAATGACTCATTTTAGTCTCATACAACTCTTCAAGACTTTTAGAGGGTTGGGGTATGTTTTAACTAGAATGGCTCATATAAACGTGCTAGTACTACATGCAATATATATAATAGTTATAATACAAGGCAACGTATAGTCACTTTTGACCTCCATTACCGCTATCACTACCTCGCGCTGACCTTGTTTGCATGTAAGTGGTTAGTGGTTTCTAACTAGTGGTGCTGGTGGTAGTGGGGGTCAAAACTGAACCCCACAAATAATTTCACAGTAGTGCAGTTATGTATTTATTCTTGCATGTTTTATATAGTATAAGTATAGTAAAATCAGTATTTACGTTGTCCAGTTTGTAGTCCGTAATATGTCGTGTTTTAGTGTTAGATGGATCGACTTAGTATGGGATTCTAGTTATGTTGTCCAATCCTTTAATCATAGCTGTATGTGTATTTTTTTTATAATATGATTGTAAAGTTAATAAAAAAAAAGAAAAATTCAAGACAATATAAAATAACGACTATTAAAATGATCAAAGCCGATCGATTCCTGTGGCTTTGAAAATTACATATGCGAACACATATGTATTCAGCATTTATTATAATACATACTGACATCAATAACCATAATATGCATCAATAGCCAAAGCCCAAATAAACGCTTCTGCTATACACTTTGTCTTCAACAATGACTCTGCCTGGTGTGCCATATAATACAGAATATTTCCCTTCTTCCAATGCCTTCGCTTCTTCATCGCTCTCAATTCAACTTAATAATGACACAGCACTGAATCCAGTTGTGAGATTAACGAAAACATCCTTCTTTTCGTTTACAATGGAATGAAAAGCCTTCTTCTGATACGCGCAGGATTAAAGGATTAGTGTCACACCAGGAATTCGCAGGCTCAAACTCCTGCTGGAGGTCATTTTTCAGGACGAATAGATAGATGATCTGGAAAGTTTTAACAATCTGTCATATGTTTAAACCATCCTTTTCTAATCTTTGCTCTTTTTGTGCGATTTTTATCATAAATGCACCAAACAAGGTATTTTTATCGCTATTTGTTGTAGTTGGGTAAAATGTAAACAATAACAAAAGCCCGCAATGCATGACCCTGACACTAATCCTTTAAGACTTTCAAATTTAAAAATACTGCAGACTTGTTGATATAAATAGCCCAAGCGTATGAAGTTCAGTGAAGGTCGATATTCCAATTATCGAGTATATGATTGTGATTGGTTAATTGCCGGGAAGTCAAATGTATAGCGAATGTGAGCAGACGTTAGGTGAGACCTCGGCCACTAACAGCGTCTGCGCAGGAGGCTACATGACGTCCAAATTCAAGCAAACCAACGCCTCTGGCTCTGTATTGATCCCGAACGAGACGTTTAGTTCACAATAATTTCCGCCAATCTGGCTAGCAATGGCAAAAGCGATGGCCTGCAATGGCAAAGTAGATTCAATTCGCTTTGCCGTCGGGCAAAGCGAAACGATTCTACTGAATTAGATTTATTAAACAACAGCCTACAGTTCTTTGCCGTTTTGTCCCGATATTTCTGTTTTAAATAAAGATAGATTAGCATCAGCGTATAGGTGTTTGACTTGCGCACCATAATATTGGTATCTCGCCCAATCTGCCTGTCAGTTGGATAACCGAAGGTTAAGGATATTGTTCCATTTAAATTTCAATCGAAATATCAAAGAAATTTCCAGAAACATCTCTAATTTATACTCGATTTTGTCAAGAAACTATAGTAAACCATATGTATATTGTTTTGATGAGTTCCCGGTATGACTTCACGCCGGCGTTAAAAGGCATTCTCGCCCCAGTACTTTCATGCTCACGGTCAAACGCTCAAATAGGCAAAATCGCCAACATTGAGCTCCTGAAATTCCATGAAGATCAAATTTTCGAATTATAAAATATATTGCAAAAGTTCTTAAAGTCGTCTAAAGTATCTAAATAAGCTAATTCCCTGACTATAACATGGGCACTTTAATATAAAACTAAACTGCCTTTATCGAAAAACTATGAGTTTGAAATAAAAAGATTTCAAATTCTCACATTCAAACAACGTTGCTTTCTTTTTATTTAAAAATTTTAATATAATAATCAATATTTAAAACAAACCTACCTTCGTTAAAGTCGGCGCCTTTACTTACATTTTTTATCAATTTTTTCGCCTTTATTTTCTTAAAAAGCTTTTGAAATTCACAAAATCTTGCAAAAATAAAATATATTTATTATTTGCAAGAAACCGTCAAATCAAGAAATGTTTGCTATTTCGCTGTCGTCATGCAGTCGTTATAATGCAAATTTTAAATTTGACCAATCAGTGTTCGCTATTCATGACAGTTCGC